CCAAGGATTATCGCATTCCAGACTTTGATGAAGAGGACAAGATGAGAAAGATAGAAGAGAATATCAAACATCTTGAAGACCAGATGAGATGAATGATGATAGTGAAATGATAGTGAAACAAATCCATTCATCATTTCATACATAAAAATTTTGTGAAAGAGGTTCAGAATTAATCTTTTATTCACTAAAAACAAGTCATTAATCCATTGATGTCCCCATTTGAGCCTGAAATATTTTTCTTTGGATTTAATCCTAATCAAAGATCACTCCCCACATTGAGACCAATGAGAAAGAAAATTTTGCTCACATCCGTGAAGACAATCAACAATAAAACACCGCAAGGTTGACCAGGTATAACATGTTTGAAGATTAAAATCAAATCAATAATGATAAAAAATATTTCAAACACGAGAGTAACTTGTGCTTAAATCAAATTGAGGTCCCAAATTCAACAAATAAAAAGAAAAGATGTGGCACATACAAAGATTTATCGAACCACAATGTTGGTCAACAAAAGCTGATTAAAAGATCCATATTGTTACAATAAGAAAGTCGCTAACATTGGAAAAGGAAATGACCTCTAGGGTGAAAATCCCACAAGTGGGCAGTCTAGAGACATCTAAAAGAAGAAGAGGAAAAAACACGATGAAGCAGATTTAAGCAAAAGAGGAATGAATGCATTGGACTTTGGTTCAATCACCCTTGAACAGGTGTTTGGGCCTATTTATCTATTTATTTCATAACCGTGAGTCATGGCATATGTTACGTTCCTAAAAAGTCATTTCTAATCATACATAAATTTCTAAGTGAAAGATTATGTTCTGCACATCAAGATTAATCTTTTATTTCCATTTTTTTAAACTTTAATGCATGATTTGGAAAAATGAAAAGAAAAAAGCAAGAAATAAGGGTTCAAGATGAAAATCCGTAAAGGGTGTCTTGAAACCAAAGAATATCTCAAGTTGAAAACCCAAAGAGACGACTTAAGTGACGATTCAGATTCACACACGGAAAGGTCTTGAGTCAATATGACATTATCAGTAAAGGCATCTTATTGAAGATTTAATGCACAAAAGACTTAATTGATTCAGGAGGAATTTTGCATCCTTCATGCATTGTCACAACCTTCGAGGTCCTCTAGACAGAAGCTACACTCGAGTCGTTCTAGGAGTGCCAGTTCAAAGGAGTCCACGTCATTGATATCTGGGGCACCTATTTGATTTTTACTCTTCTTTCAAATGTTTACCATGTACTTTCCAAAAACTTTTTCAGTCATATAAATAAAAAGGAACATTTCCTTTAGAGACCAATTTTATTAGCATCTTGCATTGAATTTAAATACAAATAGTTTATTCACTTTATAAAATATCATTGTGTATTACTGTACAAAAATTTTCTGAAAAGTATAGGTACTCAGAGGAATGGCTCAGATATCATTTCGAAGTCTTTTCTCCAACTTTTGAAAGAAAAGAAATGCATTGATTGAAGTCAGTCGCGAGAATTCAGAAGGTTCAAAGATAGAAAAAAGATCAAGATTGGCATAAGAATATCGAAACTTCTCTTTAAGACAAAAAAATTCCATTTTATGTATACATAAGAACATCATATTCATATATTACACACATGTGTACAATTTTGCATATTTTTAGGAGTCAATTTCAACTTCACAATGAAGGATATTGAACTCGAAGAACAATCGATATTGACTTAACACAGCCTATCCAAGTTAGATTTTAACTTCACGACGAAGAATATCGGGCTCAGAGAATATTCAACATTGACTTAATTTCACGACGAAATAGTCATCCACAACATAGCTCAACTTAACAGTGATGAGTTATTTTCAAACCAAGGTCTTCAAGTTAAATTTCAACTTCACGATGAGGATATTGGACTAGAAGAAAACCCAAAATCAATTGTGATTTAGCTTTAACTCAACAATGAAGAGCTACTATCCAGCTTAGATTTCGAGCTAGATTTCAACTTCACGATGAAGGATATCATGCTCAAGTCATCCGAGATCGACTCAACTTTGAGAAGAATGAGTCATCCATGATTTGAACTTCATGACGAAGGATATCGTGCTCAAGTCATACGAGATCTACTCAACTTCATGACAAATGAGTCATCCAAAATTTAGCTTAACTCAACAATGAAAAGTTATTTTTCAACCAAGGTCTTCAACTCGAATTTCAACTTCACGACGAATGATATTGGACTAAAAGAAGACTCAAAATCAACTACGATCTACCTTAAGTCAAAAACGAGGAGCTATTTCCCATTCCATATTTTGAGCTAATTTCTACTTCACGACAAAGGACATCATGCTCAAGTCATCCAAGATTGACTCGACTTCACGATGAAGAAGCCAACCATAATTTAGCTTAACTCAACAACAAGGAGTTATTTTCAGCTTAGATTTCGAGCTAGATTTCAACTTCACGATGAAGGATATCAAGCTCAAGTCATCCAAGATCGACTCAACTTCATGGCGAAAAAGTCATCCACAACATAGCTTAACTTAAAAGTGAGGAGTTATTTTCATCTAACTTAACCAGCAGAGGGTTTGCATATTTTTCTTGAGTCAAATTTTAACTTCACGAAGATTGATATTGAACTCAAAAAGCATATTCATAGACATACTAACCAATGGTTATGTTGACTTTTGCTGATTCAATTACTTTGAGACCAAGACAAACTAGACTAATATTTTCAAACCCAGTTACTTGAAGATGTAGAAGATGGAGATAAGCCCTTAAAATGGACTCAAAATGGCCCATCCTTCTTGAAGATTCTAAAAAAATGAAAGAGCATATCAATCAAAGGTTAAAAGAAAGTGAGAACACCAAGGAACGAAGTTACATCAACATGACAAAAATTGGTCATTTTTTATCTTTGCTCTATTCACGTTACACACTAATGGGCAAAGAGGGACAGTTGTAATAACCAATTTTTGTCTGGACCCTAGACTTATATGATTGCAAGAGAGCCCGTTCACATTGACCATGGTGAAAAAAAAGTGCCATTGTATCAGAGTATATCCTAGAGGAATCTTGTCATATTCAGTGTGGTCTCATATCATTGGAAAATAATATGCTAATTGATTTGAATAGATGATATTAGATATTATTTCCTTAGATAAGAAGATCTTGTATTATTTAGGCACATCTTAGCCGTCGATGTAAATAATCTATACCATTGGATGTTTGGAGGCTCGACTATAAGTAGTGGCCTTCTCTGTCTCATTAGGCACAGTGAGAAAGAGAGAAAGAGAGGGGAAAAAAAGAGATAAAAAGATAGTAGAATAAAGAAAAGAAAAGAGAGATGAGAGAATCACCGAAAGTGTTGTAATTTGAGAAACAAGAGCAATAAAAGAGAACATTTACTTCAAGGTAATTCTTATTCTTATTTTTTTCTTGAGTTTATTTTAGTCGATTTCGAAATTATTTTTATTCAAAAATCACCGAGAAAGAAGGTCGATGAACAAGAGGTGATTATCTTTCTTAGATCTAGCTCACTTCGAGTCTCTCCAATGAAACTCGTTGAAGGATAATGCCATTTTAACATTTTTTTCCTTTTTGTAAACTTGTTTAATTTTTGTTTTAACCTTTTTTTATTATGGATGGTTATTTCCTTTCTTGATTTTAATTGAATGATCCAATGACCTGATTCGGATTCCTATGAGATCCACATGGGTAGGAGATAATTCTTTCTAAAATTCATCCATATTTTCCACACAAAAATTAACTAGATCCTTTTATCTTAATTTATTTTAATCTTCTTTTTTTTAATTTATTTAAATTGATTTTTTAGAAAAAAAATCATCAAACCTATCGTATACCAGTTTAAAAAAAATTGACTTATTATGATTATTTTCTATTTTTTTATACTCAATTTATTGTTAAGATTTTATTTTATTCACATCAATTTGATTTTCTCTCCTTTATTTAAAAAAATCACACATACTAATAAATATTTTTTAACTTTTTTATTTATTTTATATTTTTGAATCACTTCATATCTATGTCTTAATTATTTATTCTTACATTTCTTGTACATTTTCCTTTTTATTTTAATTTCAGTATTAACATATCTTTTCATGTATATTTTATATTGTTTCCCTTATTGTGGTGTATGTAAGCTCTTTTTTTTACTTTTGCATATTTGACCCATATCATTCATTTTTATTTTTTTAATTATTTTGATAACTATAATTTATTATATTTTATAGTAAAAAACTCAAAAGTAAATAATTTGGATATGTTCTTTAAATTTTGGCTCTAACCTCAATTTTCACAACAACTAGTAACCGTGTTGTACCGAAAGGGTAACGTAGGGATGCTCATCTTTCCTCACATGTAATCGACTCTCGAACCCTTTCAAAAGAATCTATGGTAAGATGTAAATCCGGTTAAAGGTAACATTTAGGTATTCAACCTTACCTAATCCAAAAATATTGGTGACGACTTCAAAAAGGTAAAATTCACATTAAGTCGAGACGCGATCCCCATACCACCTGAAGGAGCGTTGCGAAAAGCGGACCAACTGTATTTTGTGTATTAACAAAAACAGAAACAGATTGTAATCGACTACAAAAGTCACTTACCAGTTAGTATAGTACATACAACTAACCAGCTCCCAACCAGTGGAAGTCAATGATATAAACCACCTGCCAAAGTAACAAAATAACTGAAGCTGCTTACACAGGATAAGAGAATGAGGAAGCAGTACCAAGAATATACCTACCCCTTCAATCGATTCCATTTCAGGTTACCTTATCTCCCTTTCTAGCTTTTTCTGTGCTTTAGTGATTTACAAGTTCATACCACTCGTATATCACTTCCACATTTTATGCAAAGCTCAAATCTCAGATCATTATATTAAGGAATAATTTTTAAAAGCACTTTGTTCAACAGAAACATGGTCTCTCCTCTTCAAGAGAAGAAAAGGGACCAGTACACCCAGAAAAGCACCAGCCAGTTTAGCTACACGTAAAAATGTAATCAAGAAACCAAAATGTGGTGGCATTTACACCAACAAAATGTCTGCTAAATTTATACTGGTCTTAGGACTACAGCAACATAAACTTCCATATCTGATGCAATTCACAAACCACATGCATACACGAAAAATCCTGATCAATTAGACGCTACCTTAACTTCGTTATAAAATATAAAAACCACTTCATCAGCCAAAGTGCCAAAAGTCAAACAAGTCTAAGGGTTTTTACATGGAAAGCAAATTATTGGGAATTACAGAGCCTGAAAATCATGAAGTCCAGGCCAAAAATGATTGAATGGTGATTTGCATCATCAAATAATCTTATTCTTGGTCATCCAAGACACGCACAATGGCGGCCAAAGTAGAACTAAGTTTCCCAAACCCAATTAGTCTGGTCTTCTGGTCTAGGCTGGCTTCATTGAAAAGGGGAAAGGTCTGGCTTCAAAATCTGCGACAACTTTAAGATTGGGGAGAGAAGGCAACAAGTGGGAAAGGTACAATAGAATCCTTGGCAGAGGACGGCTGGCAGTGTTTAAGATGTCATTCTTCATATCTTCATGCAAAAGAATCAAAAGAACTGCCATATATACGCACAAAGTAAATAAATGAAATGAGACACATATTTACCTGTGGAGTCTAGAACCCAGGACTAATACCCATGCTTCCTATGTGAAACTTGGTTTACACTGGACAACCTGGTGACAGCTAAAAATCAGGCAAGGTCGTAACAATTGACATTAGAGAAAATCACAGGTGATCAAAATTTTCTAACTAGATAGGTAAACATTACCCCCGACCAGAATTGCGACCACCATGATTTCTATAGATGTCACCTCCACTCTGGAAAATGATAACATAAAACATTCAAGGAAGTAATGAAATCAACACATGTAATCAAAATTATGCATGGATACATAAATACGTAACGGGATGGATAGTTCTCACATGCAGACGTTGTACTTTAGAAAACACCTGGCTGCAAAAACCAGATGCATCCAATAATAACAAGCTTCTGCATCTTTGAAGGGAAATGTTAAAGGAGGAATTTGATAAAAGACAAGCTTACATAAGTTCCTTTATTGTCACTTGCAGACAAATCACTAGGGCTGTATCCCTTCATGTAAGAAGAGTATGAACGATTATGTGGTTGACCATCTTTGTTACCAAACTTGGGACCATCCGACATATCTAATGACATAGGATTGTAGGGAAGGGCAGGCAAAAAAGTGGAAGCTGCTCGTTCTCTTTCAAATATATTGGCTCTCAGGCGCAACAGTACTTGTGAAAAAGCATTGCTAGCAACATCAAGACTTCCAGTAATCTGTAACCCGTTAGAAGATAAAATTCCATAGATTAGAAAAGTCTGATCATGATATTGAGTGAACGATGCAGGAAGAGTGCATGTGCACACCAAAAAGTACAACTATTCACCTGCACCATCTCTTCATCTTCATATGCAACTTTGGGAAGGTTTTCCTTAGATAGTATGCGAATACTAGCCCTAGTAGCATTCCTCATCCCAGATATTATTGCCCCATTTTTACCAATAAGACATCCAACCTGTGAGCTTGGAACTAGTAGACGGGTGGTGATTACAGAATCTCCTGATTGTCTTTCTGTTTTTTCACTGCATCGTGATTGCAAAAGCAGAGCGGCATTGATAGTGGGGGATGGGTCTCCAATAAACTGCAGAAATAAATAATTTGGCATGACATATAAATTTCTTGATATAAAATTCCCAATGATAATGTAGCTAATTTTAAGAATTAATGTATTCTTACCTCCTTTGTTGATATGAATATAATGCAATCATCTCCTTCTGCTGCGGAGCTATCCACTTTTATAGATGCCCCAGACTCCTGTCTGATCTGTCTGATAACACCACCACCTTTTCCAATCACACCCCCAATATTTCCAGCTGGGCATACCAAACGAAGAGAAAATTCCTTTGCAGAGCCATCATCTCCTCTGGAAGAATAATTGCCATAAGAACCCATAAGGGGAGCATTCATGTACATCCCACCAGGTGGATTCATATTAGATAGAGAGGAGAGAAGCAAGTGCTGGGATCTTGAAGGATTATCATGAAGGCGAGATGCAACATGATAAAGAGCCTTCCTCACGACTGAGGGCTCTCCAACTATCTGAAATCCCCACAGAGAAATTGAATGAGTACACAAAAAGGCCATGAGATGATTCAAAATCCCCTAATAAGCATACAACTCATACATTATTAATGAGTATATCAATATACAGTTACAACATGAGGACAAATTTTAAGGTAAGAACTGCCTAGTCAGAACAGAAGCCTCATGAAGATCAATCTACAGATCTTCCAAATCCCACCATTAACAACAGAATAACATACAAATTTAGGAATAAAACTCTTTCTTTTCTGGGAAGACAAGCCGAAATTGTGGGCGCAATGTATCATCAAGATACGGCTGATTTCCTTTTAAAGAAGTCACATTCAAACACTTCTCATGACTCATACCCATACATCACCATAATTCGGTTAAGTCTAGCCATATTGATTACAAAATCAAATCTACAAGGGATAAAATTCAGTTAAACAACTAACATCCTTTCTCCTATTTATTAAAATGACGCATAAAACGCATAGTATATCTTTTCACATAAGGAAAACAACTTTACCTGAAGAAGCTCATCAGAACTCAAAGCACAGGGAGGCAAATGCTCATTACTTAAAACCCGAATTTGAGCATGTGTTTCGCTCCTTATAGTTTGAATCACTTGTCCTCCTTTCCCAATAACACAGCCAATCTGATCAGATGCCACAAGCATTCTCACAGTAACCACGTGTGTTTGTTCTTCGAAATCCTCATCGGCAGGCAACTCTTCAGCAACAACCCTATCATGTACCCTAAACAAAGCATCCTGAGCAGGCGAAACAAGCTCATCGTCACCGTCACCGAGGGGATTTGTTTCCTCACTAGAGCTATAAATCATAACCACCCTCTCCTCGCAACCTGGCATAGCTTCGCAAATCCTAATGTTTGACCTACTATCTGACCTTAACTGTTTCACAATCTCACCACCTCTTCCTATAATACTACCAATCCTTTTGACATGACATAAATAACGGTAAACGGTGTCTTCAGGCCCAATCCCATGATGTTCATTTTCCTCGCCTTCGTTCCTCCTTTTACTCCCTCCTCCTCCATTTCCAGCATATTCAGGCTGAAAATGGGATCTTTTACCGTAATCATTTCTTTGACCAGCCATTACAATCGCCTTAAGTTCAAATTCTCGATCTTTATAACAACTTAAATTAACTGCAGCATGCCAAAACCAAAAATTGGATAAAAAAATAAAAATGAATAAATTCCTAAACTTTCTTAAACACATAAATCGTAACATGATAATTATAACAATAAAAAGAATAAAAAAAACTGAACGAACAAGTAATAACTAGAAATAAGCATATCGAATATGTAGAAGGAAAAAGAAATTAAGTAAAGAAGTTGAAGGGAAATTACGGAGAAACAGAGGAACGGAACGAACGTCGGATTCTGTATCGGGAAATATAATGTATGCTCTTTCAGAAATATCTGCGGTTGGTGAATGATCTTTTTAGGGTTCGAAGCGGTTACCGCGCGTTCACGTGACCGACAGATACTTTTCCTTTTAAACAACACGATTCGTTTCGACTCCTAAAACGTTGACTTTTTAATTAGATTGTTTGATGCACTACTGTTGTTAAAGATGGGCTGATCTAAGTCCTTGTGCTCCATCCCACCTTCAACCAATAATTTTGCAGCAGCACTGTCCTTGTGCATGCTTCCTGCTCGAGAAATGTCATCTGCTGTGCTACTGCCACCAAAGTTCAGTAAGCAGTAGGCATATACGACTTCAAATTTTACGATAATAAAGTAAATTTATAATATTTTAAGAGATAAATTTAGGATTAAAACAAATTGTTAATAAAATTTTAAATTTTTAAAAGAAAAACCGTCTTATTAGTCTCATTGGTCCATTACTACCTAGAGGCTACATAGTCATGTTCTTGAAGATGGAGATGTATGCTCCAACAGCGGCGAAGGCGGTTTGTTTACTGGCCAGGAATTTTCATTTTTGTGGAAGCTGTGAGTTTAATCAATGGCAATAAGTGATGAGAAATTGATGCCTTTCTATGTAAACGGAGACTAATAAACAATATGCTGCATTTATACAGGTTGAAGAGTTTGTTCCACTCAGGTCAAATACATTATCTTATATTAGAAGGTGAATTTATAAAATTCTAAAATAACGAAAACATATTATCAATTAAAAGTACATAAAAAATTCTAAAATATATATTAATTTAAAATTTTTAAGAGATGGTGATTGCTTCCGTCCATCCCTTGCGATCCGTCCCTTGTTCCCCTAGGTGATTCTTTTATTGATGCTGTCGTCGGATCACTTGTCTTATGTTCTGTCAAAGATGTTAACACGGTTAGTTCTAAAGTCAAGTATAATTAGATATGTTCCAATGCTTGTCTTGCAGTGGGCATATTCGAAAAATTAGAACTTTTGGAGGGCAAAAAGTTGGACAGATAAAACATGTAGGATCATTTTGCAAATGAGTCGAATTGTTGCCATTAAATTGATAATGGTTGCCAGCCAGTGCAAAGAATATGATTAGGTAGGTATGAATTTATTTCAATTTTTAATTAAGCTGCTCTTAATTAATCAATCATTGTAAACATATCATATATTATCAATAATTAAGTATAATCAATAAGCGTAAATGAGGTATTGATTTAATTAGTTACATAAATTGATATTATTCATATTCGTTTTATGTTTACGTTCGAAATTTACGATTGTTTATCGTCTAAGCTACGTTCTCTCCCAGTGAGTAAAAGTTGTAGGAAAAAAAAGCCACTTGGGATAGTTTTATAAATACACAAAGAAAGGAGGTCCTAATTTGAAAATAGAAAAAACACATTAAATTAGGGTTGTTCTCCTTTATCTAAAATCACCACGCATTCCTTCCCGATTGCAGTTCGTCTCCTTGAAATCGTAAGTTCCCACACTCACTTTGTTCTTTTAGTTTTTTTATGGTTTTTTTTTTCTAGCTTTCTCATTAATGTTAGTTGATTTAAAATTTTGGTTTTAATTACTTGCATAATCACAGCTCCCAATCTCTATGAACTGTTCTTTAAAGTTGTTCAATTATCTTTCATTTTTTGGCTTCTTTGCTACATTTTGTTACCTCTACTTGGTTTCCATTTAGGTTTTTCAATTTCCCGAAGTTCATAAATTATGAAAAATTTGCATTTTTAAGCTGTTAGGTTCTTTTCTTTATGACTATGTGAAGTTTAAATATCGATTTTTTTTTATATAGTTACTTGACAATAACTTTGCTTAGTTCGTCTGAAAGTATTAAAATTTACTGCTGCCATTTCTATTTTTGGATTAACTGCAAGGAAGTTGGATAGTGGATGTTTGGCAAATAATATGATGAAAGTCTGTTTGATCATTAACTTAGAAGGACATTTTCGCTCCTCATTCATTTTAAATTTCAGTTGCTTAGAGGCATGGTTTTTACATCTAATTGTGCTTTTTACTTTTTCCTGCCAGATTTCTGTTTTGATGGTAGTGACCAACTCTCAGAAGGAATCGATGAGAAGCTTAACATGCTTGCAATGAAATGCATGCTTTTAACATACTTCACTGATGAAGTTGGTGTGTTCTTTGATTCTTATATTTACTGAAGTTTGGGTCTTAACACCAAAATGGTTGCAGAGAACGCAACATATTTCGAGGATGTTGTGATTCTTTGAGTTAGTTGTTGGAATGCTTTATAAAAGTTGAAAGCTTGTTGAACTAAAACTTGTGAGGTTTACAAAAAATAGCTAAGATGGGGTCGCTGTGTTGTGTGGCTGCAAGGCCGCATGGGCCTAATGCAGCCAGTAGAGAGTGGTCCATAGGCCCTCAGGAGCCATATTGGCGAACTAATACCAGTTTCTCGCCACCTCCTTCGAGATGGGATTTCCATTTTGAACCTGATGGATTGTCATATAGTTCATATGATGGGAGTCAATTGTATGGATCTTCTACATCTCCAAACAGCAAAGAAAGTAGGGGCTGGGTGAGGAGAAACCTTCTTTACAATCATCAATATTCTGCATCTGATGGTGCTGGGACCTTTTTAAGTAATCCATCTGACATTTCTCTGGGTCCACAGTGGACACCTCCAGTAATACAAGAAATCACTCTCGATGATTATGAAACTGCAACGAGAATAGGTAAGCTAGTTAAGAGTGTCACTTTCATTGTTAAATTTGTATCAGTATTGTCTAAGGTTTGATTCACTTCCACCCTTCCATTTTCCTTCGCTGAACATATTTTGTCTGAAATTGGATGGGAAATCGGGTTATTATTTTCAGTACTCCCCCCCCCCCCGGTTTTGTAACTTATAATTCTCAAGTGAAACAACGAAGTTGAGGCTTATAAATAAATAGACTTGTCATTTATGATTCTCAAGTGAAACAATGAAGTAGAGGCTTATAAATAAATAGATTTGTAAAAAGGATGTTAGCTTGTTCACAAACATTCAAATGATATGATCTCTTCCTATGACGAGGACAAGCTGTGCTCCTCTTAGTCCCTTTAGATGAAGAGCGGGTATGTCTGGTTTCTATCTAGCTTTAGTAATTCAGTTAGTAGGTTTCTGTGATTAGTTGAATTATTCATTGTTATCTCCCACTCCTTGTTGTATTTGATATTCTTATTTAATACTTCCGGTCCTTGTCCGGTGTCACCCCCTTTCCTATCAGAACACTGTCATTCAAATATAGGTTGCATTGAAATAAGTGTTAAAAGAAAATGCAACTGAATTTCCTGCCTAAGCACCTGAAATAGCCATTTCATGCCTTCTGATTCATTACCATGCATTTGATTTGCATTTTCTTTCATTGTCCAATCATGAATATTAGCTGTGACCTTAGTGTGGAAATGTCGAACGAAAGTTGGAGTGATAAACTCAGAGACATCTTCCTCGATGTTCCTCATAAGATTACAAACTATTGAACCTAATATTGTATCATTGAGGAAATTGGAAGACTTGCTTTTATTATGTCTTGGTTTTCATTCTACATTTAGCCGTCAAAACTTTCTTCAATTGCCTTAATATATTTTCTTTGTTCCTTTATTGCTTTTTATATATCTGAAGCCTTGTAGACATAATTTTATAATTGTCTGTCATTTTTCCTCAGATGCATTAGATTCAGAAAATCATTATGTGAAAGATAAAAGGCTTTGGTTTCTTTTATAGTTATAGATTGTAATGGTGTCTATTGCCTTCTCATTACTTTTCAGTTAAATAACTGTGATGTCCAACAGCCAAATCAGTTCCGTACCCATTGATAATTCTAATGTACTGTAGGCTTATCTTGTCTTTGATGGAGTTAGAATTACAAGACTAAAACATTCTTTACTGATTTTAGTCCTAGACCTAATTTCTAAGCTAAACTGAACCTATAGAGCAATGAGATTCGCAATAATATTAAGGTGCTCTGCATAGTCATTTCTCAAGGCATTTCTGTCAGCTACTGTACCTAGGGTGGGACACGGTTGGAAATACTCTTTTAATGCACTTAAATTTTAAAAATTGAATTTTGGAGGCATATTTGAAAAAAGTTCGAATTATTTCCATCAGCTTTGACTGAACCAACTTATTGTTGTCTTTTCCATGTTAGATCAAGTTGGTGAGCAATTACCCTTCACTTCTATTGTTGAGGTACCTTATTCTCATCTTCACACTGTTGTTAAGTTGATAATGTTTCCCTAGAATTTATTCCTTAGGTTGATGGAATTTTGCAGGGGACTTCAACAAATGCAGATAGTGGAGTCTCCACTTCATCTTATTCGGACAGTAGTGAGTCTGAGCCCATGGTCAGGCAATGCTTGTCATCTCATCGCAATATTTCAAGTCGGTATTGCTTTATGTCCAAGCCTATTCACCCCTTGTCCTTTCCCACGGAGACTCCTTCCACAGAAGCCTTGGAGTCTACAGTTGCAGGGCTTTCAGATGATACAGCCACACCACAGAGAGATGCCCATAACTGGAGCAGTGCTAGCAGCAGCAATGATATTGCAGATATTTCTGAGCAATTTGAACCTTTGGTGTTCAGCCGATCATGTGTCCCATCTAGTGGTTTTAAATGTGGTTTGTGCGAGAGATATCTCTCACAGAGATCGCCTTGGAGTGCTCGTAGGATTGTAAGAAGTAGTGACATGCCTGTTGCCGGGGTTCTTTCATGCGGGCACACTTTCCATGTAGAATGTTTGGAGCAGGCAACACAAAAGACTCGTATAAGTGACCCTCCTTGTCCTGTATGTTTCAAACTCGAAGAGCAAAATTCTCCAGAGAACCGAGTCTTATCTAGGTTTAGGAATAGCATCTCAAGGCTTAGACCATTTTCTGAGGATGGGCCATCAAGATCTTGGAGCTGTGCACAGGTGGGAGATTGTGTTCAAGGGGCTTTGCAGCCTCCCCCACGGAGTACCATGCTATTGCTTAACCAGAGTCGCATGAAGAAAAATATCTTTGTGAAGGTTAATTCGAGTAAAGAATTTCCCGGTGAACTGAGGAAAAGTGGTTCGGCGTCTTTGCAACTTTTTAGTGGGAAGTCAATTGATCAAGGTGCAGTCGGGTGCTCAAAGACAATTGCGGGTCCAAGTATGAAGAGTTGAAACTTGGCATATCTATGAAGGTTGAATGGATGCTGAATGACATTTAATCGAGTGAAAATGGGAGTGGAAAATAGTTGTTGTATAGATATTAATTTGTGGAAAACTAGGGTTGAAATCTGTCAATTTCGGTTGTGTTATACTATTTACTTATGATGACGGAAGTGCTGAATGTGTAAACCAAATTTCTTCTGCTCAATCGTGGAAGCCGCATTAAACTCACAATACCATACTCACTACGTCTCTCTTGCATAAATAAAATAGGATAATGTCACATTTGGTACCTGCATTTTTGACTAGTATGATACTTTGAAAAAATGTCTACTGTGGTATATATTTAATGGTGGGTTCGCCCATGTTATTTGTTGCAAAACTTGCAAGAAAGGGAAGAGTTCGCATCACCCCTTGGCAATTGTGGGTGCAAAAACATACATCATTTATGAACCCAACTTGTATCCCATGTGGTGTGGGGACTTTTAAAACGAGAAGCCACTAAATTTGTTTTACTGTGCTCTATTCTTGGGAACCATTCGCTCATGGGGTCTGTTGGTAATACCTCAGACAACTGCATATGGTTTCATGGTTGGTCCTTATTCGACTTTCGCCATCCTTTTTTCAAGGCCGTGACCCTTCTTTTGCAATTTGGGCCATGTTGGTTGGGGATAGCCCCTTTCCCACTAGCCCCATTAACCCCTTTGTCACCTTCTGTCAAATTGCCAAAATCACACAAACTCCTGGAATTGTTAAAGACTCAAAGATGACGCTACAAATTGGAAATCATACACTTATGACTTGGTATATTATATTTTAATCTTGACCAATCCACCCATTAGTGGATTTGGAACAAGGGAAAAAGCATATTTATGAGTCAAAAGGTATGATTTATTCATGTCAACCTGACAAGAGAGAACATATCCAATACCAAGTTTGAATTCAAACGGCTTATCCCACACATTTAGGATTAGATGTGGGACTTCAACTTGAGAGCTTTCGCATCTACCATTGATCTTTATATTATTATTTTCTTTTCTAATTTTAACTTTTCAACAAATAAGTCACACCACAAAATTTTCAAATCGAATCGAACGAAATTTGAATCGCAAAATCCAACAATAATTAAAATTAATTCATTTAATTTGTAGCTAAAGGTGTCTCAGAGTATAGATTAGGGTTGTTAAAACTGAACTATTTTGAAGTGCTTTACAACATCATATGCCATTAAAACACATCAACTCATTGAAAGAAGTAACGAGTTGGATAAAAAAAATATAAATTAGAGGATCTAAAACCCTTATCAATGACGGATAATGACTATTTTAACAAATATAACAGAGTTTTTAAAATAATTATGAAATAAAATGTTAATCGCCTATCAGATCATCTAATTCTGATTAAACAAATGGAGTCGAGTATAATTCTAGGAACCTAACCAATTAGATATAACATCAATTCCTTTTTCCTTTATAACCATGTTTCTTCTAACATTGTCAAACTGTTATATCACTTTCATGTACAAAAATTGACCAAACCTTTAACATCACATTAATCACAAAAAACTTTATCAAATTACAAATAGGTACATCAGATATAAATAATAATGCACTTTTACCCACTTTTGCTATATAGAGTAGGGTTGAGCGCTCGATCGAGTCGAGTTGAGTCAAATAAAAAAAATCGAGTTATTCAAGAATTCGAACTTCACTTGAAATTTTTTCGAGTTGAGTCATGTTTTTGAGTTTCTGTTTAAATTTATTTGTAAATATTTATAATATTGTGATATTATTTTATTCTAATTTAAATGGTTTTTATAACCATATACAATACATATACATTTTTCATTTTTTCATATGTGATATACATATATCAAACAGGTCGAGGAACTTGAATCAAATTTGAAAATCAATCCAATAATTACTAAAAACTTTGAGTTAATTGAGTTGTATTTTATATCTTGATTTGAACTTGAAATTTTTTCGAGTCGAGTTTATGAAATTACAACTCAAAGTCAATTCGAATCGAGTTTATGAGTCGAATCAAGTCAAAAAATTAATTTTTTGAGTCGAGTCGAATTTTGCTGCTACTAATATTATAGAGCTTATCCCTTGATCTTCATTAACTTGGCTATATGTCTGATGAGAAAGCAGTGGACCACTTTGGTTAGCCATAGGATAAGAAGATAGGAGTGGCTGTGTGATAGGCAGCAAACATTCAACCCAACTCGTCGTGAAATGGGCCTTAGATTAATCTGATCCACTCTTTACTGCATTGCACCTGTTTTTCAAATGTTACCTATTAATTCGGATTGGATTTTACATAAATTTATTATAAAAACGGTCTTTTTAATTTAATTTTTTATTTATAATATTAAAATTCAAATTTTTAATATTTACTTAAAAGATTTTACGTTTAATCTCACTAAATTAAAACTATTTCTCTCTAATAATGAATTTTCATACGAAACATTGTTATTAAGGCATAAAGAGCAATTGATTAAAACGTGAAACCTAAACAAAATTGTAATAACTTCAAATTATTGAAAAAGAATTATCCAACTTAGGCCTGTAAACGAACCGAACGCACACGAACGGAGGTATGTTTATGTTCGTTCATTTAATAAATAAACGAACATAAACGAACACGAACATAAACGAACAAATTTTTTTTGTTCATGTTCGTTTATTAAGGAATATAAATTGTTCATGTTCGTTCATTTAATAAATAAACGAACATAAACGAACACGAACATAAATGAACACGAACATAAACGTTGGAGACCCTACCTTCCATTATTCTTTCATGAAAAATAGTCGACAATACAAATCAATCAAATCTACGTTATTCTAATAAATTCGCCGGTTAAAAGTTTTGTGACATCAATGTCAGACTTTAGTGAGGTTTGTTAATAATGGTCATTTCCGTTGGCATAGTATAAAATTTAACAGCATGAAGATTTCGAACGGTACAAATTGGACTACAAGGCAATAACATAGATCCAAAATCCCTTCGATGCTACATATCGTAACTGATATTATTGTTAAACCACCATTCAAAATTTTAACGTACCTAAAGTCTACTCCACAACTAAAGGTCGCACAAGAATTATGAAAACAAAAGTTTATTGTCAAAATGTATTTTCTACTTATTAATGGGTTCTTCCTGAAAAACTCATTACTTTCGCTATTACACTCTTTTTCAGAAATTGCATAGAAACCTTTGTTTTGTTTTCTGACTAATTCTATTAGATTTTTCTCTTTACTGATGTTCATATACTTCCGATTGTTACCTTTATCTTCTCATCTATTTCTAGAAAAGAAGTATGATGTTTTCTTGAGTTTTAGATGTGAAGATACTCGCAATAACTTTGCATATCAACTATTAAGTCAAATAAAATAGAGAAAGAGATGAAACCAGACCTATAAACTTCAGATTGCACTATAATATAACTTGTTTTGAAGCTTTCAGCGATCGTCTCTATTCTTCAGTGAATATTAGGGTTTGGGAAAAAAAAAGGGAAAATGAATATAGGTGTGAGGTGCCTCACGGGTTAACATATTGAATTTAATCTTCAAATAAAATTAGGTTAATTATGGAGTTGGTCATCAGAATATCAGATTAATTAATATTTTTAAGATACTTACAAATTGGTCACCAAAATTGATTTAAGAAGATTGGGTTAAACATAAATGAATGAACATAAACGAACATAACCAAACGAACATAAACGAACATAACCGAACGTTCACGAACGTAAATGAACGAACGAGACCTATGCTCATGTTCGTTCATTTAATTAAACGAACACAAAATCTTGTTCATGTTCGTTCATTTAATAAATAAACGCATATAAACGAACTTCCCGCCGCACGGTTCATGAACGGTTCGCTGAACGTTCAGTTCATTTACAGGCCTAATCCAACTTAATCATGGGTTGGACTACACTAGTTTGGTCATGAATATCAATTATATTGTTTGTTATAAATAGAAAATAAGAGATTATAAGGTAATTAGACAAGTAATTAGCTGGCTGATTAATGTTTCAAGCCACAATCCACGGCTACAACTCAAAATTAATGGCCATTCATGGCAGACAATATCTACTTTTACCACTTTATGGGAAGATTGCACTTTTTCCCGTAAAGAAAATTTCTTTTATATAATTCAAGTTGGCTATTTAGATGATATCAAGGAATGTGTAATTCTGCGTTGTGGTTGAAAATATAACTAATGATTAATAAGCATCTAAGCAAGATTGAGTCTATTTAAACCCATTTTACCAACTACTTTGGTTCATTAAAAACTAACCTATCTCCCAGCTAAGCTAAGATTGTATATTTCTCCAAACAAACTGATGTAGAATGCTCACCCTCGCAAACTGCATTTGCCAATGGAGCAAACGGGGTTAGGAGGGTCGCTCTTACCTCTACAGTATCCGATTTAGATTAATCGATCAATAGATTAAATAAATAGATGAAATACCAGTGATTAATTCAAAAAAAAAATCTTCATTTGCTCTAACAGTGACGGGTCTTTTCCATGTTGGACGCTACAATATCAAAACTCCTTTATTCACATATTATATATAATACATTAACATATCTATAAATTTTACTATATTATCATTAAATCAGATAATAATATATTTTAACAGAATAACAAAATTAGAAATATATACTGACGATACATAATTTTATACCTTATAAATAAACAGTAAGATGATATATCTATAAAAATACATTTTGGGAGAGCAAATCACCATTTCATTTCTCCACACATGTCTAAACCACATAAATGGAATCCAAGATAATAACTCAAATTTTTGTGGACAGCAACAATTAAAGGCGGAAACGAAAAGTGAAACAAAAATCTGGGTTTCATGCATTTAACCTTTAAAGTTACAGTAATCATGGTGATAGTGGGATTTGTTGACTTGTAAATTTAAAATTTAAAGTAAAACCCTAGTCTAGTACACGATAACTTGCACATTTCTTATCAATGTTGCTTTTACAGCACGAACGTAAATTTAAAAATCAAATGGTGGACTGTGAAAAGGGAGGAAACACAAAAGTAAATTGCATGGAAAGAAATCCTTAGCAACGTTGATGGTGTCGGCAGGCACATTCTTCAAAAGTAATCCACGGAAAACACAATGGTGGACTTAATTATCCAACGTTTTCACATAATCCCTCAACAAC